GCCTCTCCCAGTAAAGTGATCTCAAAACGTTTTTGTAATTCTGTTTTGACTTGTTCTAAATGCTTATCTTCTCTACTAGCAATCAACAAATCGTCAACGAAGACTAATAGAAATATTGCTCCGGCATCCTTAGAATTGTAATAAAAACATTTATCGACTTCATTCTGCCGGAATCCTATAGATTTCAGATGTGTGTCTAAAGTTTCATTCCATGTCCTGGCAGCCTGTTTGAGTCCGTACAAACTTCTTTTCAACAGACATACCATATTTTCTTTTCCTTGTTCAACAAATCCAGGTGGTTGTTTCATGTAGATGACCTCCTTTAACTCTCCATTTAAAAATGCTGTCTGCACGTCTAGATGTTGAACTATCATTTTCCGCTTACCAGCAATTGATAGAAAAATTCTTATCGTAGTTTGTCTTACTACTGGAGCAAAAACTTGATCATAGTCAGTCCCATATTTCTGAGAAAAACCCTGAGCTACAAGACGAGCCTTGTAGCGCGTAACTTGTCCTTCTGAATTGGTTTTCTTTTTAAATACCCATTTGCATCCTACTGTTTTTCTATCCTCCGGAAGTTCGACCAACTCCCAAGTTTTATTTTTCCTTAATGCCTCTATTTCTTCCGTCATAGCATTGTTCCACTCTGCTTTGTTTTTACTCAATATAACGTCATCCAATGTTCGAATTTCTTCAACGATATTGACAGTATCTTCAGTAAATCTCTTCGGTAGGGTCCCTTTTGTTGATCGTTCTGATCTCCTCAATCCGTTAGTTCCTTTTGCATTCAACTCTGGCTCTCTATTTGCAATCTGCAGATCATTAACTCTTGAACTTTCTTCATTCCTATTTTCTTCTGGTTCTCTGGTTCTGTTTTCTTCCTGTTCATCTTCCTCTTCCTGATGACTCTTCAGATTTTCTTCTACAGTGACACTTTGCCGAGAATAATCAGGGCTATAAACCTCCAGTGATGATTTTTTATTTGATATTAATTTATTCTGCAAAAATCTAACGTCTCTGCTAATGCATAATTCCATAGTGGTCCTATCTACCAAGCGGAATCCTTTGATATGCTCATCATAACCAACGAAAACCAGCTGATGAGACTTCATATCTAATTTTCTTCTTTTCTCATGAGGGATGAAAACATATGCTTCTTCGCCGAAAATGTGAAAATTTGATATGTCTGGCTTGGTAGAAGTCCACAATTCATAAGGTGTTTTCGAAATTGTTCTTGAAGGTAATCTGTTCTGTATATAATTGGCAGTCATCACTGCTTCACCCCAAAGTGAATTTGGAAGACCTGCGTCAATTAGTAAACATCGAGCCATTTCCATGAGCGATCTATTTTTACGCTCTGCCACACCGTTTTGCTGGGGGCTATAACTCGCTGTATAATGATACTGAATACCTTCTTGCTTCAAATACTTGACCATCTGTTCAGATCGGTATTCCCCTCCTTGATCTGAACGGAGTAATTTGGGCTTGTGACCAAACTTCGTCTTGACAAGTGCAACAAACTCTTGAAATTTGTTGAATACCTCTCCTTTACTCTTCAGTAGATACACAGTGGTGAACTTAGTAAAATCATCTACAAATGTCAAGAAATATCTATTACCACTGGGTGTTATAGTTTGCATTGGCCCGCAAACATCTGAATGTATGAGGTCTAGTGCAGCTTTAGATGAACTCACATTCTTCTTCAAAAATGGTAGACGAGAGAACTTCCCTTGGAGACAAACTTTGCATGTCTTTTGTATCCCACAATTATGCAATTCTATTCCATCAGCCAAATTTTCTTTCTTCAATAACTTGATGGCCTCTACGTCTCTGTGACCCAATACTCTATGCCAATAGTGAATACATCTATTGCTGCATTCCACTACTGTGTGAATATTTTCCTGTTGCCTTAATTTGTATAATCCGGAACTCAAATCAGCAATAGCAATATCCTTATTTTCTTTCTTTATTTTGCATCCGCTCCTGCCAAAAACAACTTCGAATCCATTTGTTATCAAGCGCTTGACTGATAGCAAATTATTTTGCATATTTGGTACGTACAAAACATCCTGTATCATTGTAGTCGAAGATTGATTGTCATCATTTAAAAATGTCAATCTGACTGTACCTATTCCTTCTGCCACTTCTTCTAAACCATTCGCAACGATGACCTTACGGTTTGTGGTACTGAACGAACAGAAGTTATCTTTAGAATTTGATATATGGCATGATGCTCCAGAATCAACAATCCATCCTTCACATTTTGTATCAGTAACATTGAAACAAAATTGTTCTTCTTCAGTAACTTGCCTTACTTGTTGTCTACCCTTGCCACTTTCTTCTTTCTTCTTTTTCCATGCTTGATATTTTCTGCACTCTTTCTTAGAATGTCCTTTCTTTCGACAGAAATAGCATTCACCTTCCTTAACATGCACGGAATTGCTATGTGTCAATTTCAGAGCACTTTCAGATGAACCAGCTTCACTCCTTTTGAATTCCTCGATGAGCTTCGATTGGACTAAATTCAGCGTTAGGTCATCATCTGTACGAGTCTCTAATGCAGTTATAAGAGTATCGTAATTTCTGGGCAGACTACTCAACAACATCGCCACAACCCATTTTTCAGAAAGTGATTCTTCTCCAAGAGCTGCTAACTTTTCAAACAACTCGGCCATTGCATCAATGTGTTGTTCCATATTTCCATTTTCTGCTAGTCTTAGACTACAAATCCTTCTCATGAGAGTAACTTTGTTACTGAGCGTTGACTTCTCATGATATTCCTTAAGTTGAGTCCAGGCCTCTAATGCCGATTTGCTTTTTCTGACATGAATCAACTGATTATCTTCAACAGACAAACATATCGTTGCTCTAGCTTCATTATCTTTCTTTATCCAATTATTCGTCACTGGATTTGGCTTCTCATGATCAATTACATCCCACAGTCCTTCTTTAATTAGGAGAAGCTCCATTTTATATTTCCATATAAAATAATTTTCACCATTCAACTTGGTGATAGTGAATTTTGCTTCTGCCATATCGCTGTATAGAACAAATTCCGCTCTTCTTCACTTTACCAATATAGGTGATATCCTGGGCTCATAACCTATTGGAAACTGCAGTGGGTTGGACTTAATTCCTTATCAGGGATGTATCGATGAATACTTATTGAGAATATTGACAAGACCTTTTTATTTTATTTCAAATCAATAATGACAACTTCAAAAACAGTTCATATACAGAATGACTAGAATTAACAATAAAGGGTTATTCACTAATGTATTTCAACACTCCTCAGGGTTATTCACGAATGTATTTCAACACTCTTGTCTGAGAGGCCAATGTGGAGTTTGCTGGGAACATCTCCGCAAAAATGTTCGCTTTCTCTTAGATTAGATTTGGAATGGGGCCTTCGGGCTATCTGCCTCCACACTGCGACCTTTTCAGATCTATTGTGCCTGCCCTCAAAATGGATTAGAGTTCTTCGGCTAGCCCCGCCTTTTCTATGATACTCCATAGGCTAGCTTTCAGATCTCCTGTGTATCTCTGGGCTCCTGGTTTTTCCTCACCCAGCGTAAGGAACCTTAGTCTTGACAAGCCCTCACAGTGGCAAAGTATGTGTACTGCTGTTTCTTCCTCTTCTTGACAGAACCTGCACAGCAGTTCTTCAGTCAGACCTATCGTACTCATGTGTTTGTTGAGCCTACAATGCCCTGTGAGAAGTCCCACTAGTATTCTAGTTGAACTCCGTTTCTGGCTTAGTAGATATTCTGTGAATGTTGGCGATGGTTTTTTAATAAACTCTTTTGCCTATCTCATTCCTGGCGAGTTGTTCCACCATTCTTGAGATTCAGTTTGCATCCATGATTTGATACTAGTCTTTTGTATAGCTTTCGCAATACCACAGAAGGGTTCTGGGCCATTAAGAGCTTTGTTTGCTCCTGCTCGGGCAAGTGAGTCTGCCTCTCGGTCTGCCTCTTCATTGCCCTTGTACCCTGTATGTGCTGGTACCCATGCTAGAGTCAATCTGTTTTGACTGCCCAGTGCATTTAGGGTTTCTAAGCAGTCCCATACTAGTTTTGAGTTAACTTGCATAGAACTTGATTGCCGCCTGGCTATCTGAATAGATTGCAATGGTTTTGCCTTTAAACTCTTGCCTTATCAATTCTTTCACGCAATGATGTATTGCAATAATTTCTGCCTGAAACACCGTCGCGTATTTGCCTAAGCTCAGTGAGATTCTTGTCTTCGGCTTGGCCCCATAAATACCAGCTCCTGATCCTTCCTCAGTTTTGGAGCCGTCCGTATAGACAGCAATGTCTGCATTGATAGGAGGTCCTTCCTTCCATGCCTCTCTGTCAGTTATACTTATTTTAAAAGTTTTTACAAAGCTATATTTTGGAATTATGCCATCCGTTGGCATCCCCATGATGGGGTCGCTTTCCAACTCTTCATATAGCTTCCTATAGTCTTTACCATTCTTTACCGTGCGCGTTGCTTATGGGTGCTTGACCCCTTGACAATCTACTCACGACTGCTCTGGCTTCGCCTCGAATATATATTTGTAGTGGTGGTAGGTTCAAGAGGACCTCTAAAGCGGCTGTTGGAGTGGTTTTCATTGCATTCGCTTTCTCTTACGATGTTATTGCTAATGTGCCGTCGGCTTTGGAGAGTGGTGGGAATGCACTTTTAGTCAAATTCCTTCCGCATCAGGTGGGTTATAATCAGCAAAGTCGACTTTAAAATCACAGGTGATAACTCGTGATAACTTGCTTGGCTCCTATGCTATTGGAGTTTCTTACTGGGATAATTTGATTTCTGACTATGGTTAATAGGAATTTTCCTCAGTGTATAGCCCCGGTTGACGTTATAAAATGTATCAATAATTATAATCATGATGATCATGGTGAAACTAGTGTAATTATTGTTACTTGATGGGTATCTCTGGAGTGTTTATTTGCACAGACACATATATATATGTGTGTGTGTGTCTGTGATAAATTATTGATCAGTTTGTTTTATCGCGGCATCAAGATGTTGACAGAAATCGCGATATTGTTTGCTAGTGTGGGCATAGTAGCCGTTTTATTCGTGAAGTACAAATACGGATACTGGAAGAGAAGAAATGTTCCTTATTTGGAACCAACGTTTCCTACTGGCAATAACACGAGCTTCTTTCCGAGAGGAATAGCAATTGGAAAAGTATCTCTTGATTTCTATAATACATTCAAAGCAAGAGGGGTAAAAATGGGTGGTATGTTTTTTTTTGATGATTGGAATTATTATTGTTGTTTAGGTATATCCATGAAACCACCTTAGTGATCTGAGTTGATTTTGAATCACATAAAATAGACCTTTGATATTTTCAACTTTATTCGATGATATTTCATGGATATTCCTGAAATATATATCTTGTGTACCAGGTGATTCAATAACGGTGACGAGGTACAGTATCTCAGGAACTAATAGTTTATTAAACACGCCTCCTAGCGAGGGCGGTAAGAACCAGAATGGTATGCATGGATCTTTATTTTATTCACCAAACCTTCCTTCCTCGAACCATACCTTTTGTTAGCAATGTATTAGTTCCTGAGATACAGCTTCTTGGTTACCCTTATTGAATCACCTGGTATATAATGCCTTACATGGACACCCCTGGGGATATATAATAATAAAACAATTTATCATTTGGAAACACTATCAGATATACCATTGGTTTGTGCCTGACAGACGAAGGGTAATATTAGTTGAAATAAGTTGACAAAATAATATTGACAGGATATTCACATAATTATGTTCTCTTAACAGGTTTTATAGTTTGAAACAGTTTCAACTGTTTAGGATATGGCGTTCAATTTTATTTTCAAAATGTTTGGAACTATTTATTCTCCTTATTGCATCGGTTAGATTGTTGAGTAAGCGTATGCCAATATAGTACCTATGCATGTTTTTGGGTAGGTAGTATTTTTCAGTAATTTTGGGACTTGTAGCTGGTTTTCTATTTGCGTGCATGGAATGTTTGTAAATTATTAACAATGCATTTTTATGAAATGATTGCTTAATGATTGTAAATACCTTTGCTTCTGCGTACAATGATGATGTCTCTCTTTTTCAATTTTAATTTTGGGAATATATTTTTGAATTGTATTTATTTATTCCAAATGTGTTGAATATGCTGCACCTCATGATATTGGCATTTGGTAGGTTATTAGATGGTGACAGATGCGCTGCGACCTAATTAGATCTATTGTGCCCCATCTGCTTCTGCTATATCCAGGATTTCTTGTCCATAGCAGCCCTTCAAGATTCAATTCCTTCAGGAATTTGAGGATTTCGAGGGAATCCAGTTGTGGTATTTCTTCCACAGGCAGCTGGTGTGTTCCCAGTATGTTCAATCATTTGTGATGTACAGCGTCACACTCCATCAGTATGTGATGGGGTGTTTCTGGTTCTTCCTCACAGAATCTGCAGGTGCCGTCCTCCTGTAAGCCTAGCTTCCTTAGGTGTCCTTTGAGTCTGCAATGCCCCGTTAGAAATCCCGTTATTGCTTTGAGACTTCCTTTGCTGAGGTCTTAGATCTTTCTCGGTTGAAATTTACAAGGAGATCTTTAGCCTGCCGTAGTCCTGGAAGTCTTCTCCATAATCTGGCTCTCCAGGCTCCTTCCGCCTTCTCAAGTTCTCCTTGGAAATAGGAATTTCCAAGGCCGCAGAATGGCTCTGGTCCGATCAGTGGCGTTGAAGCCCTTTGTCGTGCCAGAGCGTCTGCTTGTTCATTCCCCTCCACTCCGATATGCCCTGGCACCCAGAGGAGGGTCACTTTATTGTTACTGCCTAGCTCACTCAACTTGTTTGGGCATTCCCATACCATCTTCGTGTTGATATTAGAACGCTTTGATGGCTGCTTGGCTATCGGATAAAATCGCGATATCCTTCTTCCGGTATTTCCTGTTTAGGTTGAACGGGATGCATCTTTCTATGGCGTGTATTTCCTCTTGAAAAATGCTGGGAATTGTCCCATGGATTCGAAGTATTTGGTGCGAGGCCCAAAGACTCCTGCTTCAGTTGCCTCTCCTCAGGAGTAGGATACGCCATTGATCAAAATTCTCGAATTCCGAGCTCATATTCTGAATCAGCATTGGCATTTCATGCGATATTCAATATTTGATGATTGTTTGACAAACTGTTTCGGAAATATTGGGAAACAACCATCTTCAGTGTGCTCTGTTAATAGGGCATTCTTCGACAAATATTTATGGAAACTTTTTTCCATACACCTCAGGAATGACCACACGATTTGTTTGCTATAATGTTTTGGAAATACACCCTGAATGTACTTGTATGTTGCAGGAGTTTTTTTGGGAACAGATCCAAATTTGGTACTTTTGGATCCTGAAGATGTAAGAACCGTTTTGATCAAGGACTTCAATAGTTTTGTGGACCGTGGTATCTACATGACCGATAAAGCTCCTATTACTGTAAATATGGTTTCTCAGCGAGGTCCAGAATGGAGGAATGCTAGGGTAAATAATGTTTATACTTTCAGCTATATTTCCATTCTTGCATTTTATTGTTATTTTTTGATAAAATCCATGTTGTATTCAAAGAATAATTGATTTATGCAGAGCGATGCAGAGTAACGACAAAAAATGCTCCAGCCATACCGTAGATCATTTTAATTAATTTATGACAATACAGCAGTGGGTCTCGGAAATTATTTATAGTTTGCCAGTTATATCTATCGAAGAAGCAGCAAGAAACTCTAATAGCATAGGGGACAAGCGAGTTATTACCTGTGATTATAAAGTCGACTTTGCTGATTATAACCCACCTGCGATTATAAGATATAGAACCTTGCTGTCACTAGCGAGTGCATCTGTATGATGCTATTAGACGATGTTTCTGTAGTAGGTATCTAACTTTGCTACCGCTAGTGAGTGCATCTAATAATGGGAGTAGAACAATGTGATAGGCGTAGGTAAGGAACTTTGCTACTCTTGATGGGTGATCATATAGATAGTTGCATGACCTTCTTACTGTATAGTTATTCAGTTAATTTCCAGGATTGTTGTCATCAATGAAGGTGAAATTTTGACTGATAATCACTTTCACTTCCCATTATTTCCACCCTGATGTTTGGTATGAATAGCAATTTATTGATTCCTAAAGAAAATTTCGGATCAATGATCTTTGAAATTCAATAGATCAATTGATTCATGCACCCTCAGGAAAAACCAAAGGGTTTTTTGAGTAATTGATGGAACAAAGAATTTTTCCGAAACCTTCTGAAACCATTGTATTTCGAAAACTAGGCAAGTTATTACAGATGCGTACAGGAAAACAAAATGTTACCAGTAAAATCATTCAAATAATTTCATCACCTGGACATTTTTGCTCACAATACGTTTTTAGACCAGATTCTATAGAGAAGGTCTAAAACATATTTGACCATTTTAAAGTTCGATGATACCAAAGAGAGGAAAATGTTATTGAATGTAAAATATTTGAATTTCAGACGAAATACCTCGAAAAAACTCACCTTCATCATTCCATCAATCCTTATAATAACTGATGCACTCAGGTCTACGAAAGCACTGAAAAGGACACAGAAGATTTTTTTATTTGTTTGAAAATGTTTCCATTTTATATTTGAATTCATATTCAGATTTTGAATAATGAATTGAATTCAAGAGGGGAAGTATTCGTAACTGTCGTGTCGTCGAGATTGTCGTCCTGTACATGGGTTTGCATCAAGAGCCCAACTGTGAATGATTGATCAAGCAAGATGTCTGACAAATGTTTACATAGAGGGGGACAAATCAGCGAAATATCGAATAACGATGAGTAGGCGCTAAATAACCCCAAGTTGGTTCGTCAAATATTATTTTCGTGGCAGACTGACAGTTGTATTATTGGAAGTGAGTGCAGTTCTATGCGATGAACCTCGCAGCCACAAGCATATAACTCACTAGTAGTAGTTCGGCTAGACAATTATAAAAAAAATCATGCTGCCCCAGAGTGGCTGCCTGATAGCTACAGCAGTATACCTTCCTGTGGCAGGAAATTCATTTTCAGCAAAGTCGTTATTGCTATCATAGGATTTGAAGGTGCTGCTTCTATTCGAAAATGTATAACGGTAATATGATTTCTTGTGATGGTAGCAAGAAATATCCCAGCAAAAACTCTAATAGCACAATTTTCCTCAGTGTGCATTTTTCAAAAATCTTTTTTCACGTTGTTATTGGAGTTGATGGAAAACTGATGAAAATATACTTAGTGAGGTTTCACGTGGTGATTCTGAATGCCCTATTCGTTCTGGAAACAATCACATGTAAAATACAAAGTAGTTTGAATTTGTTTCGACCTAGTTTTCTTTTTTTTTAATTCCAAAGAAATAATATCATCAGTTCCACTTAATTTGAAGAAAAATTATTCAAAACACTAAAGCCTTAGTTTGTTAAATTCTATTCTCTTTAGGAAAAATACGACTTTTTTTCTCTCCATATTCTCTACAATCACTCACTAACTCAGTCAGAAGTTTTTCAAATTATGATTATATGAAATAATTCGTTTTTTCTCTGGTTTTATTAAATTGATCAATGAAGAATGAGGTGTTTATATACTTATGTATGTATGCTATGTAGTAAATATTAAAGTAATGTACAATGTGTCTCGGTTTTTATGAATACACCCTAATATCAGCTATTATATTGATGCGATTTTCTTGAAATTTTGGTAGTGATTGTATATTAGAACAATGAAGTATTTAGCACAGTGAACAGTTTCATTCACCATTGGCGTGCGATGTTGAGTACAAAAAAGACCGTTTTTCGAAAAAAAAAAAATATATAAGAGATCATTTTGAATATATTTTCTCATTAGTTTCAGAATTAGCCCACCCAGAAACTACCTCATTTATATTTTCAGAATCTCAAGAAGAATTTTAAATCCCGCTTTTCATGACGACGAAAACCTCAGCTATTAATGATGCGATTTTCTCGGAATTCTGATGGTGATTGCTGTATGTTATTTTTCTAACATATAACTGCTGCATTGAATAACTTAGTGAGATATTCTTCTTCATTTCCAAGCATGACATAACTAATCCATCAATATCTGACACATAATGACCAGATGAACTTTGTACATTAATTGATGAATTCAGAATAAGTAATAAGTTGATGATGGTTCTACGAATACGAAACGTAGCATGAAGAAATAAATATCAATACGTTGAATCTCATGAAAAATTGTAATGGTACAGTCGTATTTTCAATTTCTCAGTATAACCATGCAATGATAGTATAGGACAAAATTAAATGAATTTTTCAATAAAACTGAAAAACTATGAATAACTTTGGAAACTATCGGGAAAATATTCCTCTGAATGCGCAACTTTTTCCTAATTTCACCAGATTCGTATTTCTTACCTTTTCCGATATATCAATGATATTCAACCATATATCTTGCTAACACTGCATAATGAATGATTAGTATAGTTATTCATACAACAAGGTAGTAAAGAATATCATTATAACTCCCAAGATGATATCCCGAGGCTTCGGCCTAAAACGGTTAATAATAGACATCTTCTAACACAAACACACTGCAGGACTTAATATTTAACAATATCCCAGAATTTGTCGAGCCAACCACAAAATGAATACGACCCTGTTGCGGCTGATACTTGTATGGCTTTATCGCATGTCATTATCCCATCTCAGGTCAGGTCAGTTTCTTAAATCTCGAGAAGAACTATCCCACACTATACCTAGGTACTTATACTTTGGGTTGCTAAATAATTGGTTTCTCCGTCATTCTCATTATCATGTACCTACTTATATACACATCGATTAGATTTTTTTTAAATAGGTAATTGTTTTGATTGCATCGAAATATTTCAACGATCATCATACCTACTCATTGGCTGATAACGTGTACTTTGGATTGATACATTGAATTGCTGAATAATTGGTTACTACTTACTATTCCATCCTTACTATCGTACTTAGATCGATTAAATTTCCTAAACAGGTATATACAGGGTGTTTCAAAAAAACCTAACCCCCTTGCTAGGGTGGGTAGAACATTGCAAAATAAGTTGGGTTTGTTCAGTAAAAAAATGTCGTTTCAAGATACAAGGTGTTGAAACAATATTTTTCTTACACATTCTTTATTTTTATATCTGACTCTCATAGAGGGCGCTAGTTACACGGTTCGTACCGATTAGTTTTGAACATAACTTTTTTGAGATTAGATTTTTCAATCCAAATTTAATGTGAACTTGAACATCATTCAATTTCACACCAAAAAGGTACTCTTGGTAAAACTCGATATTGAGTTCTGTTTTCGGAATATTTCGTATTGAAAATGATGAAGTGGTAACTGTTGCTGGTATACTATGTATTAGAGTGAGTATTATGAAAAATTATCACCTATTTATTGAAAACCAAAAACAACAATACATTTCTGATGCAAAACTCATTGATTTAACAATAAATCACAAGAATATCATCGAAACAGATTTGACTAAGAACATGGATTACACAGTTTTGTTGTATCTTGAGCAGAAAGTCTATGCTACATAGGTAAATTCACGTTAAGATTTGTGAGACATAATTGAACATCACTTAAATGACCTAACAGCTGATCCTCAACTGTTCAGAAGAATAATTCATTCTTAAAAAAATAATATAGAATGATGTATTCCTCGAAACGTAGGACATTTTGAACACTTACTCTAACTGATTCAATATTTCATGTTTCTAGTCAAATATTTCTTAATTTTCTACTTATGATTCTTTGTTCCATCAATTACTTCAGCACAAGAATAATTTTATCGTTTTTGAATCTGAATAAATAGGTGATTGTACTCAATAAAATTTATTTTATACTAGCATCACTCTCAGCATCATTACTACTCCATTATTTTCAAATCGAAATATTCCGAAAACGGAACATAGTATCGAGTTTCACCAGGAGTACCTTTTTGGTGTAAAATTCAATGATGTTCAAGTTCATATCATATTTGGATTGAAAAATCTGACCTCAAAAAAGTTATGTTCAAAACTACTCGGTACGAACCGTGTAACTAGCGCCCTGTATGAGAGTCAGATACAAAAACAAATTCATGCGATGTGTCAGATTCCAAGAAACATTCATTCAAAATTTCATTACAATGGTGCCAGTAGTTTCGGAATAATCATGAAAAATGTGTAAAAAAATAATTTGTTCAACACCTTGTATCATGAACACGGATGCCGTTACGACATTTTTTCACTGAGCAAACCCAACTTATTTTGCAATGTTCTACCTACCCTAGCAAGGGGGTTAGGTTTTTTTAAAACACCCTGTGTAGACCGCTGACTCTAGACAAAAAAAAGGACAAAGTTCGCATAAATTCGCACTTTCAAAAAATTGTTGGCATGTTGTTTGAAACCAAGTTTGCAATAATCTGGAATTTTTCGACTAATTTTAGATTTTAGCCCAATCGTTCCAACCCAAATTATCCCTACAATCTGAGTTCAATTCCAAAAATCGAGGCCGCAATTTAAAAGTGAGACACGCTGTATGTTATTTTATTTCAGGTCAAATACACCAGCGTCTTCACATCTGCAAAAATGAAAATAATGTACGATACCATGAAAGAATGCATTACAAATATGTTACCCTGGTTGGACGACGGCGCAGAAAGAAATCTTGATGTTGATGTTTTGGACACCATAGCACGTTTCACTACTGATTCAGTTGGTAAGTTGGTAAACCACTAAAGCAGAGCTAAAATTCTTTAATGCACATACTATATACACAATCATTGACACATTCAATAATGGATTATATTCTATTCGAATGAGGATCCAATGACTTGGTTGATTTCAATGCAAACAAAACACAAGCATGCCTTTTCTCTAGAAAAGCCGATCTCACTGTACCCAACATAAGCTTGTTAGGAGTAACCATACCTTTGAAGATATTCATTTCGATGCTTGGGATTACTATCAGCAATAAACTTTCTTGGGAAAATCACGTGAGATCAATTGCTAAAAGTGCATCCCAAAAACTTGGTTTTCTGTTTCGGTCCAGGAGATATTTCACTTCCAGTCAGCTGCTTATGATCTATAAGGCACAGATCCTACCACCAAACCCAGATTTATACCCATATCCGGCTTGCCTCCCCAGCTATGTTCTCTGCTAGCTAGTTTTCTCTCAAACGATCTCTCCATGTAGTGGTCGACGGAGTTTCATCTGACTCTCTTATTATACATGCTAGTGTTCCGCAAGGATCAATTCTAGCACCAACACTATTACTACTCCATATCAACGATTTGTTGGAAGCGACTTCATGTCCAGTACACAGCTTTGCGGATGATAGTACCCTCCATACCGCCTTCTCTTCCAGTGCTCCAATACCAGCCAGGCAAATCAAAAACGAACGAGTAAGAAATGTTGACAACATAAATATGGACTTGGCAACAATTCTCGAATGGGGATCCAATAACTTGGTAAATTTCAATGCAAACAAAACACAAGCACGCCTTTTCTCTAGAAAAGCCGATCTCACTGTGCACAACATAAGCTTGCCAGGAGTAACTATACCTTTGAAGACATCCATTTCGATGGTTGGTATCACTATCAGCTATAACGTTTATTGAAAAAATCACGTGAGATCAATTGCTAAAAGTGCATCCCAAAAACTTGGTTTTCTGTTTCGGGCCAGGAGCTAATTCACTTCCAGTCAGCTGCTTATGATCTATAAGGCACAGATCCGACCTGTCCTGGAATACTGTTCCCATATTTGAAGTGCAGCACCCAAACATACCCTGAAACTGTTGGATTCTGTCCAAAAAAGAGCAATTCGTCTTGTGGATGATGCCTCGCTCACAAACTCACTCACTCATCTGGAACACCGTAGAAAAGTTGGCGATCTGGCTCTATTTTATAGATATTTTCATGGGCGATGCTCTTATGAAATATCAACAATTGTACCTCCCTTGGCAGTCCCCACGAGATTAACCCGTCGAGTTGAGGCTTCGCACCCCTAGGTGGTCACTTTGGAGACCTGCAGAACATCTCTTTCCAAAGACTCGTTCATCCAACGAACAGCGGTTTTCTAGAACACATTGCCAAGGGAGGTGTTCCGCGAGACATATTACCTCCAGAAATTGAAGAAGAACACCAATCCCTACCTTATTTCCCTTAGTTCTCACGATGTTCTCTGAACATTATAGGGTATCCCTTTTCGTGGGAATCAGAACATAAAAAAATAGGCTCATTTCTTCAAAAAATCGATTTTCAAATTGTTTTTTTTCTTCAATTTCGAGGAAGTTATCAGATCTAAAGACTCTCATTTGTGCTTCAACTTCAATCCCAGGGCTCTTTTCGTATGTTGAGTGGTTATTTCTATATTCGGCCCAAATAGACTGCAAAACTTGAAATTCATATTTGTCATATATATAGATATTAAGAAAATTTGCTAATTTTTGAAGTGATATACTCAAAAACTATTGAACGTACAGAGTTGAAATTCAGCTAATAATGTTCCAAAATTCATTCTACTTCAAAGCCAATGATCACATCTTTTGATGAAAAAGTGTAGTTTATGAGTTATAACGCAACATCTGGAAGAAGTCAAAATATTTTGCCGTTTTTAACGTATTACGAAGAGAGCAGAAAATTGCACGTTCCTTTCATATTTCAGGTGCGACGATCTTAGGTGTGGAATGCAATTGTTTCAAAGATCCAGATGCGGAATTCCGGAGACTCGGAAGACATATTTTCGAACAGTTCACTATTGCAGACAGAATCCGTTTATTCATGACTATATATGTCCCGAAATTGTCAGAAACATTGGGAATTTCCAATATACAACCGGAGGTAACGGAGAAATTCAGTAAAATCATCACAGATGCGGTGGAGTACAGAGAAAAAAATAATGTGAAGAGGAAAGACTTTTTAGATATGTTGATTCAACTGAAAAATTCTGGAATACAAATGCCTATGGACGAAATAATCGGCCAGGTGAGTTTTCACGAATAATATGATTAATTCATCCTGCGAGATGTCTGGTAGGTTTTCAAGGTTGAAGAAGAATCAATGCAACGTACGATTGATAGGGCACTAAATTTTTGCGGAGTGGTAGCCCACTAAGCAAAGTAATATCTCAACAATATTACAGCAGTATTTCAATGTAATGTATATTGTTACATCAGATATTGTCGCTATATTACTACAACTACTGAAACGGACGTTCAGCAATATCCGAGGCAATATCATGATTGTGATGTTCGCGAATGAATCATTCCAGCAAAGTTATTGATGTAACATTTCATATTCAATGAACGGATATAATCTCATTGAAATATTTTACTGGTAACAAAAATCAACAGTATGAAAAATTACATATTTTATGTTATAAATTATAGAGGCAGATTGCTTCATGTGGTGGTGGACGGTGTTTCGTCTGAAACAATTGGCATCAATTCCGGCGTTCCACAAGGATCAATTTTGGCACCAACATTATTCCTTCTTCATATCAATGATCTGTTTTGAGTAACAACTTGCCCCATCCACAGCTTTGCTGATGATAGTACCCTCCATACTGCGTTCTCTTCCAGAATTCCCATTTCTTCCCACGAAACTAAGAACCCACGGCGCAGGCAGGTCAATTCTGTCAATGAAGACCTTGCTGAAATCACAGCTTGGGGAACCAACAACCTAGTTGAATTCAATGCTACCAAAACTCAAGCTTGTATTTTCTCTAGAAAGGCGGAACTCAGTATGCCCGACATTGTAATGTCTGGCACCACCATCCCCACCGAGCCCACCATATCTGTGCTCGGTATTTCCATCAGCAACACTCTTTCATTGGATAATCATGTCAGATCCATCGCAAAAGCTGCTCCACAAAAACTCGGATTCTTGTTCTGTGCGAAAAGCTACTTTACACCTCAACAGCTCCTCATGATCTACAAAGCGCAGATACGGCCTGTTCTAGAATACTGTTCCCACATATGGGGTTCAGCACCAAAACATACGCTAATGCTCTTAGATTCCATTCAGAGAAGAGCCATCCGCCAGGTGGGTGACGCCACACTCACTCACTCTTTGACATCATTGGAACACCGTAGAAAGGTCGGCGACCTTTCACATTTCTATCGATACTTCCACGGGAAATGTTCTTCGAAAATCTCTGCTATCAAGCCCAGTCAGCACATCCTTTCGTTGTCAACCTCGAAAGATGTCGAACAGCACTTCATCAAAACTCCTTCATCCATCGAACGGCTAGGCTCTGGAATTCATTGCCTGAGGAAGTATTCCCAATAACATATAATGTCCAGAAGTTCAAAAAAAAATCCATTACATACCTTCTAGCCCTATCCTGCCTAGGAACACACGATGTGAACATTATAGGGATTCCCTTTCGTGTGCTCCAAGCGATAAAAAAAATACATAGCAGCAATTATTCAATGATCGAATAATCATGTCGACTTCATAATTTATAAGTCAATTGAGAAAATTTCAAAAAGTCTTCGATATAACGGTACTACGGCTTATAGGCACTGCACTGCATATAATGACCTAGAACAAAGGAAATGATGATGAAATAAAATAATCAGGAATCTACCTGTTAGTTGAGTTAGTTCATCTATTTTTTGAACTTGAGAGTTGGGGATTATATACTTGATTTTAAAAATATTCATTGTTCAGATAATATTCTGAATAACGATATTTGAGGTTGTTTTAGAATGAACTGTGAGTACGACCTCAAGTTTTTTCCACAACAGCTAAGTACAGTAAGATGAGAGATAAGATTTGATGATTTGAGCAGTGATTATAATATCACAATGAAGTTAAACAAAACGAAAGGATTTATTTTATATAAGATTTAATGATTTATAGAGTTTCTAATGAGAAGCCAATAGACTACTCGAAAGCTTATAAACAGATACGAGAGAGTTGGTACTTTGTTTCATTTTGACTACAGACTCAAAGGAATTCACAAGTTTGTCATTCTATGTTCTTTATCGTCGATTGATCGATCCGCTCAGATCAATAATCAATAAACGATGTATGAATTTGTGAAATGTATACCTAACCTAGTATAACTGATGACTTACTTAAACATCAACTGCCAATTAAACAAACGACATGTTTCGCTCACACAGTAGCTTCGTCAGGTGATATACTGATACAATAGACTAAACTAACGTTGGCTTGCTTAACTTTTATATATCTTTCCCAACCTGAAGGATTAGTTACCTGTGGACAGGTACGATAAACCTCCATTTTCGGAAATTAGGACAATATCTACATTAAATTACGGTATACCGGATTAACTTGAAAGAGTTGATATCAAATACATTATTTATTACTAAGAAAACAAATTCAACAGTGGTGAACTATTAAGGTCTAATTGATCATTAAGCAAAATGTCAAAATTTTTGAGTTTGTTGATTTCTAATGATTCAAACTGATTGAGTTTCAGTCCTTTATTTTCTAACGTGCAGAATTTCGAAATTATCATCAAAACTATGGTTTTCTTCTGATATATGGTTGGCGTATGTTGAATTTGTTTTCTTTTTCATAAAATTCATCTTATGCTCATGAATGCGCTGATTGAACGTACGACCTGTCTGACCGATTTATACCTTAGGACAAGATCCACATTTGAGTTTGTATACCCCTGATTTTTCGAATTCAGAAGTTTTGTCTTTATTATTCTTGATAAACCGTCCCAACGTGTTATTTGTTATATATGCCACTTTTAAGTCCTGTTTATGTAGAAATGAAGCTAATTTCTCAGTTGATGATCCGAAATAGGTTAAAGTTCTATAATTTTGATTATCATTCTTGATGGTAGGATAAACTTCTTGAATAGCTTTATGATGAAGTTTTTTAGAAATAATACTGTCTATCAAATTAACGTTGTATCCGTTGTTGACTGCAATCTGTTTTATGATATTGAGTTCTTTATTGAAATTTACTTCCGAAAGAGGGACATTCACTAGCCTGTGTATCATACTATTATATGCTGCAATTTAATATTGATAAGGGTGTGTCGAATTATTATGAATAGTGATATCAGTGTGGGAAGGTTTATGGTACCTTTCCACAGGTAACTAATCCTTCAGGTTGGGAAAGTAAGATATATAAAAGTTAAGCAAGCCAACGTTTAGTTTAGTTCATTGTATCAGTATATCACCTGACGAAGCTACTGTGTTAGCGAAACATGTCGTGTGTTTGAAGATTTTGTGGAAATCTTATCGTTTGTGAAGTTTTTACATTTATCATGGATTTCCATCAAGTAACAGCCGAGTCAATTCAAAATTCTATAAATGACTTATCTGTCAGAATTTAATGAGAATGCTATCCTCTCAAGAATTCAATTAGTATCTGGAAGTAGATTCCCATTTTCTTCAAAAATATCCACCACGAACCATTTATTTTTGGCGAAGGAAAAACGAAGGCCACATATTCCTGTAACTATATTTATGACATTCACGACGTATAGACACGGAGATTTACATAGGAAGGACGTATGCCGAATTTGATGAGGATCCATGGATATGAAATGATATTTCTTCATTCGAACTTCAACCTTTTGAATTATTGGACATTCCTCAAGATACATAATATCCAATTACTATTGAAATCGTACCTCAGTGATAGGAATTTATTCGTCGACTATGAAGGTGTAAAATCTGTCAACTTCATAGCTCATCCAGGAGTACCTCAAGGATCGAATCTGGGGCCTCTTCTATTCCTCTTATTTATAAATGATATATGCATTTCAATTAAATCAAGCAAACTCCTTTCTGCAGATGACATGAAAATTTTCACAGAAATTACAGATATTGCAGATTGTTTGCGTCTGCAAAACGATCTGAATCTTCTTTTCAAATGGTGTTCTGAAAATAATTAACTCCTGAATATTGAGAAATGCGAATGAGCTATTCTAGAAAAGTTTCTGCATTTCCATTTGAATATTTCATCGAAGATGGTAAACTACGCAGGGTAAACGAATGTACAGATCTGGGAGTTATATTTGACAGCAAATTAATATTCAATTTACAAATTGAAAGAATTAAATCCAATGCCAATAGGGCTCTAGGTTTCCTCATACGTATTGTAGAGAATTTACGAATCTTAGAGCTTTTGTTCTATTTACTACTGCATTGTACGTAGCAGGCTTGAATACTGCAGTGCGGTATGGAACCCAAGCCAAGTTAAACACATACAAGCATTGGAAACAGTACAAAAAAAATTTCAAATTTTTGTTTTTCAAAAAATATAATATTTATCCTGAACGTCACTGCGATTACGATTTGTAACTAGGAGAATTTGCATTCGTTATCTTGAAAAAACGACGTGAAATAGCAGTCATGATATTTGCATATAAATTAATAAATAATCAAATAGAATCGGCGTCCCTTTTATCCACACTGAGTTCAACATACCCCGTAGGTATCTCTTCAAGATCAAACTTGACTTTCCGAATCGATGTTCCAAATTCACAACATAACCTCAATAGTCCAATCACATCTATGTGTAGAAGCCTAAATAATGTGCCGTCTGTAGATATATTTTTTTCAAATTTAACCCAGTTCAGAAAGCAATTGTACGACGGCGTATTAGCGCCACAATAACCTATTAATTGTTTCATCAGAATCTCAAAATTTTTAGATTTTTTCTCAAAATAATCCACATCATGGATGCGTGTATTCAGTTACAATACTGCATTGTCAATTATAGAGTTGAAATTAGGTATAGATATCAGAAGTGTGAAGTGCATGATGTAAGTGCACTATATAAATTGAAACAACAAAGAAAACGAGAGCGGTCCTAGATCTAATTCTGCGTTTTTCTACTGGATTTGAAATGGACATCCATGAAGATATCCATCGAAGGATTTGAAATGGATATCCTATGGGTATCCATGAGATGTTCACAGCAATCACGAATGAGTTCAATCCGCAAGATTGTTTTTCATAGTGTCAATTTCTCTTTTTTGTGTCCGAACATGGATTGAACCTTTTGGAAATAGAACTGATTCTTCGTTTTCCTACTGGATTTGAAATGTACATCCATGAGATATCCATTGAAGGGTTTGAAATGGATATCCTTCAGTAGATATCTTATGGATATCCATAAGATATTCACTGCAAAAGCTGATGAAAGTGATGGATGTAATTATCCAGAAACGTCAATTTCTTTTTTGAGAAAAGAAAGAAGCTCATGATCATTCGTATAAAATTTCCTTCTTATACAATCCCAAGGATTTTAATCGTCTTTGTAATGTTCTTCTGCTGATGTCGTTGTTATGTACTAACTGCAAACATTATAATATTTCATGGTAATTCAAACCGAGGAAGAAATATCTTTTTATTAGTTCATTGGTATATATTAGTGTTCTCTATATATAACACATAAATAGGTCTACTAGGTGAGGTGAGGAACTTTCGCAAAGCACAACCACTTTATAACTGAATGCAAACATACACAATGTTGTTATCATGTAGGTAACAAATTCGAGAAAAAAATCTCGAAGTTTCGAGAAAAAATCTCAAAATTTTGAGATTCTGATAAAAAAATTGATAGGTTATAGTGGCGCTAATACGCCGTCATACAATTGTACACTCTTATTCCGAACTAGTTATATATTTTCATTTGTTCACCTACATTGGTTCATTGTAATATTATTATTCTTATTATAACTTTCATTATTATATACTCCTGTAATTGGGCTCCGGCCTGTTGGATGTATTATGTATGAATAAATAAATAAATAAATAAAAGATATTTTCATCGGGCTAAGTCTTAAAATTGATCTTGAATACATATGGACCACCCTGGGTATAACCTCTTTGTTTTATTTTCGGCCATGGAGCGATGTATCTTGTTTTTTAAAAACACCTATGAGTACATAATATACTATATTTTCATTTTCAGACATTCATATTTTTCACTGCTGGATACGAAACCTCTGCTACCACCACAACGATGACATTGTTTGAGCTGGCTGAGAATCAACAGGCTCAGGATAGACTGAGAGAAGAAGTCATAAGGACCTTCGAGGAAAATAACAATGATCTGCCGTATGAATCGATCATGGGAATGAAATACCTTGGTCAAGCAGTCGATGGTAAAATCAAAAACTCATTCAATTATTAGGACCTCAAGTTCAATCATTTTCGACATCATTTGTATTTATTTTGCGCATGATAGAAATATTTACCGGAATTAGTTCATTCACCAGGTATATTGCACTTGAACCAAAGTCCGAAGATGATGTTCTTATAATAGGTTTTATCTGATGGCATGTCATAATGACAACGTTATGTCACTCAATTTTGATGACATAAGGAAGCTCATTATGGGACTGAGTACCATAATGAATTCATTATGGGACTAAGTACCATAATAAATTCATTATGGTACTAAGTACCATAATGAAATTCTATAAGGAAAACATGTAATGGTTTGATCAAAAAAGTTTATTCAAAATGCATAACTATGTACAAAACTATTTATTATAAATGGTAAAAGAACAATTACTACAATTTGTAATAATAATATAATGGCAAAGCACAGCTCACTCACCTACTAATACTTGAAACTACACAATACTTACTCCTTTAAAAATAGTTGTCATTGTGACATGCCGAAAATGCAGTTTTTAATTTTTCGAAAATGTATTGATATAAATGCCATCAGATAAAATTTTGTATGTAATACGAATCATAAACAATCATTATGGCACACGCCGTGTTATCAGACTCGGCTACGCCTCGCCCGATAACATTCACGACTTGTACCATAATATGATCGTCTTCATGATCCTTATTACATAAATAACTATTATCTGATGGCATGTCATAATGACAACGTTATGTCACTCAATTTTGATGACATAAGGAAGCTCATTATGGGACTAAGTACCATAATGAAATTCTATAAGGAAAACATGTAATGGTTTGATCAAAAAAGTTTATTCAAAATGCATAACTATGTACAAAACTATTTATTATAAATGGTAAAAGAACAATTACTACAATTTGTAATATTAATATAATGGCAAAGCACAGCTCACTCACCTACTAATATCTGAAACTACACAATACTTACTCCTTTAAAAATAGTTGTCATTGTGACATGTCGAAAATGCAGTTTTTAATTTTTCGAGAATCAATGCCATCAGATAAAATTTTGTATGTGATACGAATCATAAACAATCATTATGGCACACGCCGTGTTATCGGACTCGGCTACGCCTCGCCCGATAACATTCACGACTTGTACCATAATGATCGTCTTCATGATCCTTATTACATAAATAACTATTTTCGCGTTCACAAAATTAACAGTCCGAAGCCATCACAAGTATGCGCAGTGACGAAGAAGGGTTCGGGTTTTCTCAGGACTGTTTCGTATTCCACAGATCACGTGTTTTTGTTTTATACGAACAAGTATTTGGGATAGTTTCGAATTGGTCCAAAGCAGTACGAGCCTCTGAGCAAGAACTGCCCATGACTGTCGTGAATAATTTTGAATGCACATGCGTGTATGCAACAGTTTGTTAACCTCTAAGCGTTTCATGTTATGAGAAACATATTCAAACAAGATGAAGAATAGAATTATTGAAAACATCTTCAAGATCAGATGATATCAAACATTTTTGAATGTGTTATCTGTTGGCAATCCTGAAGACCGAGATTAAGAATTTAGGGATCATTTTTGGTATATGTATAGTGTAGCAATATTTTAGGTCCTGAATTTCAGGATTATTTATATACTCAACAATACCATCATTTGGTAATCTTGGTCAAGCATTATTGATCATTTTCAATTGTATCCATGAAATGCCAATGAGACAATTTTCGAGCATCAATAAGAGATTTAAATCCCCTCTATATGACGTGATTCATCGGCGTTGTTGGTCCACTGTCATTGCTGAAGAACACTTTCAAATCAGCTCCAAAGAGAATAAACAAAAATGAGATCAGCTCTAGTTCTTATCATCATCTTCCCTTCCCATGTTTTGTTATGTTACCCATAATTCAGTATAGAAGTTATATTGACAGTATAGAAGTTATATTGAATACGCGATGGCGGCTGGTGGTGTTGACACGAATTTTTCGCTCACCTCAAAACCGTGTAAGAAGTGCAAAAAAGTGGCCCAAAGTGGTCTTAAGTGTGTTTCATGTGGTACCACATCACATAATAGTTGTGTAGCAAACTCAAAAAACATTCAAGTGATTGACGATAAAACAATAATTTGCTGTGAAATAGCAGAATCACCGATTGTCAACAAAAGTGATGCCCTTGAGATGTCCATGAAGTCAAGTGAGAGTGAAGTTTTTTATCTGAAGGAATTGATCAAACAAAAAGACATTATAATCAATAATCAAAGTGACCTAGTGTTGTCCCTCAAGGAACAAATTATCCTGTTAAACAAAGTTTTGGAATTTGGAAGTCATGATCATATCACGAATAATAAGGTACTCATCTCGCCATCTACACCACAGTTTTCAAAACATTTATCAACCTCCAAAAACTCTGGCAATGATCTACAACGCGTTCACAACGAAACCAGTAAGAAGGTGTCTGCTATCAAACACGATAAATCGAGTGTACCGAATACTCAACCAGATGACGCTAGAAGAATTGCTAATCATGGAGCTATCAAAAAAGGTAACGCGCGAAATGAGGAAGGCTCATCAACATCGAATGGAATAACAGGGAAAGCGGTTTCGAATGCAATATCACTGGCAGTATCTGAGATTAAGTGTCAGGAAATTATAAATTTAGATTCGAATAATGAAGAACCTTTCACAACAGTAAGACATAGGAAAAGGAGATCTGATAATAAACCGATCATAGGCAATAACAGTTCTCTTACTACTAAAGTTGTGCCTAGTAAAGCATTTCTACATGTTTTCAAACTACATCCTGACTTCAAATGTGAAGAACTTTTGGAAATTATCAAACCAGTTTTTCCGGAGGCAACTTGTGAACAGATGAAATCAATGTATCCAGACTACTACTCTTCTTTCAAGGTTACTATCAATGAATCCAACCTGTCGGCAGCATGGAATCCAGGAAATTGGCCAACAGGCGCATGGGTCAACAAGTTTTTTCATTCAAGGGGGGCAAAAAATATCATGAAGTAACAAATAGTTCTCCATGGGAAATTGTAGGTTCTGACGAATCGAATTCAGGTACCTACTGTTCTGAAAGGAATAACAATTTGTTGAGCATTTTCCATGTCAACATTCAATGTTTATCGAATAAATTGAATCAAATTAACCTGTATCTAGACAGGAATAACTTCGATATTTTATGTTTCTCGGAGCATTGGTTAGATGAAGCTGTCATTCAATCCATCCAAATACCAAAATATAGGCTAGCCACATTTTTCTGTAGAAGTAAACTGAGACATGGGGGCGTCGCTATTTTCGTTGATGAAAAAATCAAATGTAAAGCACTAGATTTAATGGGATTTTCTAATGAGTTACAGGCGAAATTCTGTGCAATTGAGCTCCTGGAAAATAACATTTTATTAATCGGTCTCTATAGATCTCCTAATGGGGACATAAACAGTTTCATCGATTCATTGGAAAAACTTATCCTACACTGCTCTACAATTCGACGTGATATAATTATTGCGGGGATTTCAATTTGAATTTTCGTGGTTGTTCTTCTGCACTCACTGAACTTGCTCATTTGTTGCATTCATTTGGTATCGCAATCACTATCTCTGACTATACAAGAATAACCAATCATTCAGCTACATGTATCGACAACATTCTAACCAATCTAAATGAGAATAATTATAGCTCAGTAGTTATAGATCCTTGTTTTTCAGATCATCATGCACAGGTGATATATTTGAATTTAAATAAGAAAAAACAAAATGATGATGTGATTTGGAGAAGAATAGTTACGAAGAAAGGCATCGATAATATCAGATCATCTTTGGTAGAATTCAGCTGGGATAATGCTGGGTTGCATGATTGGAATTGCTCATCGATTGCTAGTTTTCTGGTTGACATTTTATCTTCATTAATTGAAAGACATTTCCCATTGAAAAAATGTTCCATTGTCGAAAAACCACCAGTCCAGTGGTTCAACGATGAACTGAGAACTCTCAGGGACACTTTATCTGAAATCAAATTTATTTGTAATATCACTAGAGACTTCAGCAATTATACCATTTTGAAAAAGCACTATCACTCAAGATTAGTTGAGTGTAAGAAGGCAGCTTACGATAAATTCATTGGTGAGTCTGACAACAAGGCCCGGGACAGTTGGAGGCTTGTTAACTTCGAGAGAAATAAATCGAGGAAAAAAACATGTGATCTTACTATACCTGCTAGCTCATTCAATGATTATTTCTCCACTATTGCAGAAAACCTGATTGGGACTATTGAAAACAATTATGTAGACCCTGAGAGTTTCTTGAAGGGTTTGCCTACACCATGTACATCCTTCTTTCTAGAACCAGTAACGGAACATGAAATTATCGAGGCTGTGCGCAATTTGAAAAACTCAAAATGTACCGATGTGTACGGCATGAATAGTGAATTCTTGAAACAAACAATAGATTTATTAGTCAATCCATTGGTTATTCTGTTCAATGCATGCATCACTGAAGGAAAGTTTCCCGATATTTTGAAGGTCACTAAAGTTATACCAATATTTAAGAAAGGGGATGTTTCACAGATTGCAAACTATCGTCCGATATCTATTATTCCAATAATATCGAAGGTTTTTGAGATATTACTGAAACAGAGATTCATGAAATATTTCGAATCTAATGGACTCCTCAACTGCTGCCAGTTTGGGTTCAGAAGTAAATGTAGTATAGTTCATCTATTTCTAATTGAAACAGCAGAAAAATATTGACTATACCGGGGACGCTTCTTTGTATATCATCACGAATGTAAAATGAATGTAGTTTTCGTGTTGCAACTTTTATAAATGCACTGGTATATTCGCAAAAAACTGCGACCGGGCGACTGGAGTCGTCCAAACTCTTAGTCAAATCGGCATGTATCGCGACTAAAGGTGACTAAAGAATAATAGCTTGGCTGACTGGAGCGTATTTCTTCCTAGAGAATACTCACTGCATCTCACTCTCAA